TGCTATTGACTGCTACACTTCTGGATACGGCTCTTCATTCATTTAAGATTTTGGCAACTGGCTCTCCCCACTCCAACCATTGCCCATCAGTTTCTTGATATTCACATTTCCAGTGACCTCTGCTCCCGTGCCACCTCAGCCACCCACTCTCAGTGCCACAAAACAGGATATCCATTCCTGAAGCTCTACTTTGACATGTTCGATGAAGACACCCTGCTCTCAGCCCAGCTTCTCCCCACTGTCCCCTTGCTGTCACCCTCTCTAGAGCTATTCAAGGCCAGCAGGGCCATCACAGCAGTTCTTCCCATTTGGCTTCATTTCTTACCCTGGTTATGATCCCTGGTCCCACCCACCTATCAAGCACTCTCTTGCCACGATCATGCCGCCTCGTGCTCCTTTGTTCTTTATGCATCTGTTTGGGACATTGTCCTGAATCCATGCTGTGGTGGGGCTTTTCCAGCCAGAGAGCATCAGGTGGCCCTCTGACCATCGACAGTCATCAACTGTAACAACCTCACAGTAATGCCGGGAAACCCCCCTCATTACTATGCTTTTCCATTTATTGCAATGATGATGTCAAACATTCTTTGCTCACCTTGACACCATGGTTCTGTCTTGACCATTTACTCTCAATACTATCTTCCTTCATATTCCAAATACTTCAATGTCCTGCCACCAAACCAATAAAGTCTCTTAGCCTTAGTTTCTTAGCCCATTCTTTCCTTTTTATTTTCTAATACTATGAAAGAGACATTCCTTTTTCTTTTTAAAGTCTTTAAATTGATTTTAGAGAAAGACCTAAAATGTGAGAGAGAAGCATCAGTCAGTTGCTTCCTGTACGTGCCCCAGCTGGGGAGCAAGCCCACAACTTAGGTATGTGTCCTGACTGAGGATCGAACCTGCAACCCTCTGGTGTACAAGATGATGCTTCAACCACCTGAGCCACCCAGCCAGGGCCCTTTTCCTTTTTAAGGACATTTTTTACAGTGGATAGTTGGATCTCATCTTTGCCTATTTTTCAAGAATTTTGTACTTTCATTTAAAAAATGTGTTTTATTTCACACCTTCCCCCTTAGGCACTTCTATTTACCTCCTCAATTTCACACCCAAATTTGGAAAAGAGTTATCTCCATTTGTTGATCCTATGTCTTCCTCTCTTATTAATGGAACAACCTTCTTTAATCTGGATTCTTCCCTGTCCTCTGTCAAAACTCTGTTGCAAAGGCTACTTGTGATGTTCTTGTTATTTAGCTCAAGGGATATGCCATGATCTTCACATGATTGACTTTGCTGAAATACTCTCTCTGTACCTCGGCTTCTACAATGCCTCACTCTCCATGTTTTTGCCTTGTTTCTCTGTGTATTCCATCTCAGTCGCCTGTCCCAAGAACTAAAGTTTGGGTTCCTCCAGGTTCTTTCTGTTCAGGACCTTTCTTTTTTTATCACCCTATATGTTCTCTTCAAATGATCTCATCTCATGGCTTCCCCAACCATCTAAAAGCCAGTGACTCCACATTGAAGCCTCAGAAGCAGATTTCTGAGCTCCAGAAGTACAGCTAGCATTTTCTTTGGGATGCACCCATTATAGATGTCTCGTAGCCTCTCCCGGCCAAATGTAACAAAAATTAAACCATCACCACATTTCTTCAGCCAGAAAATGGCTGAATGGAGAGCCATCGGAGCCCTTCTTCTCTCATCTCTGACCCATTCTGTCTGCTGTCTTTCTTACCCAGGCAGGAAACCCACGTTTTGGTCTCCATCATCTCCTTGGGCCCCTACAGCTACACTCTTTTCTCTTTCACGAATTGGTGTGGTATCTTCCAAACTGGTCTTCCCACATCTTCCCTGTTCCATGTCTGTTCTATTCTTCACATATCAACCAGAGTGATTCATTTTTCATAGAAATCTGACCTCATCACCCTCCTGCCTAAAGTGTCCCTACAGTTTCTTGCTGCTCTTAGAATAAAGATCAACCTTCTTTCACGGGATCTGCAAGGCCCTGCCTGAGGGACCTGTCCATCACTCGCTGCACAGGTGTGACCTCTAGCTGTTCTCTGCTCTGCTGTGTGTCTGTGCTGCAGACACACTGGGGCCCCTCCAGTTCATCAAGCATGCCAGGCAGGTCCCCATCTCAAGAACATAGTATCTGTTTTTCCCTCTTCTGAATACAAGCCCCCTCTTCCTTACACTGCTACCTCCAGTTTGAAGTCTGCTCAACTATTTAGTCTCCTGTGCACATCATCTTCCCTTCTGTGACAATGGCCACTTTGCCTGAGACACGTAGCCCAAGGGGAAATGTTGGGCCTTATTTGTTCACATTGCTCCGAAGGACTTGGAATGAGCGCATTGTTGGTGTCAGGTTCATGATCCCCACACGGGGCTGCAAAGTTCCTGGCACATGAATATGTGTTAAGACAAGTGAAAAAATGCTGCTCACATTAAACTTCTTTAACTGAAGACTAAAATGACTTTTCTTGAGTGTTTTCTTTGTTGCCATGATTCAGATTAATTATAGTCTAGAACTGAAAATGATTGCAGTGGCATACCCAATGTGAGATTTCCATTCTCCCTGGCGACACTGACTATTACGGAAACCCTGGTTGTGCAGTAACACACCCAGGCTTATGAATGAAGGTTCAAGAGGTGCCTTTCAGTTTTTCTGTGCTTTCTACTGACGAAAGTTGTCAAGACATGAACAGAAATTTAAGTGACAATAGAGTATGAGAAACCGATGTCATCTAAGCATGTCAGGTGACATTCTGAATTGGATGTTCAAGCCCCCAGGTAGCAAGCCAAGTGATTCTGACCTGCCACATAGTTTGCTTTCTCACATGGCAAATCCCCATGACCCCAGGACAATATAGTCATCATGGAGGAAAGACGACACAAAACTTTTTTTTTCTTTTTAAAACATTTCTGTCCCTGGGAAGAAAGCAGTTGTGTTCCTTGAAGGGTTGTGTTATTTCTACAAAATTACTCTGAAAGTGTTTGCAATAAATATTACTCAGGTAACAACTCCAAAAATGCAATGGTAAAAAACTGAACACATTTTGTTTATGAATGACAGTACCTACAGAAATGCATGTTTGATTGTAAATGCTGTTGTGGCAATAGCATCAGACTGAGTATAGTTTGGATACTCACAACTTTCAAGGGTTTGTGTTGCCCCACTAAGTAATGTCATGTTTTTTACCCATCAATGTAATATCAGATAAGCAAATGAGAACATCATTTAAATAGAGCATTTTTCCTACACATTAATTAGTAGTATGGTGATGAAAAATGCTTAAAAATATGCAGAATGACATAAGTGATGGGTTTTTTCATTAATTTTTATACAACTGCATTTAACTAAAAAATATATCATCTTATTTTGCCCTAAAACTCAGTTAGTTGTTCCTGCAAAACTGAATGATGGTTTTTGTCAATTTAAGAATGTGAAGACTTTGATTTTATGGTGAAAATAGCAAATGAAATGAACCTCTTCATTAACTGTATGTGTTTTTTAACTTTCAATTCCACTTTCATTGAAATATAATTTTCCTATAATTGTACTACTCGTTTTTATCTTCCTTCTTTCCTCAAATCATTAGTGTCCAAATTGCTTATCCCCAAAGAAAGATCTATTTCATGTTGACAGACAGGAGTTCCATGTAAGAAGGATTTCTCACAGTGCATAGTTAGTTCAGCTGAACTTATCAGAAGTGTGGAAAAATGAAAGAAATATCTTAATAAGAGCAGAAAACTTGCACTGTCTTTATTTGCCAAAGTATTCATGCTCTTAATTTCATGAGGGTATTTTTAGTTTCAGTCATTTGAAAAAAGGTAATAGGTGAAAAAGTCAGGAAATAAAGTGTAAAATCACAGTGTAGAACTCTAGCTATACATAATGCCTGTAAATGTATAGAAAAGCACATTGGCATTCCAATAACACCTGTGACATTTAGACGTTCTATAGAATTCCTGCTTTCAATCTCTGCCCACACCATATGCCAGTATGAGTTCTCTCTAAATATAGTCCGACCTTAAAATCTTGAGCACTCAGAGATTATCCAGTGCAGCAAATAATACATTTTTCTACTTTTTATAATTCTTGTTCACAAAGCAGTTAATACAATGATAAAGATGTTTAGAGAAACCTAAAAATTCCAAATCACAAAACTCTAAATGACCACAAAGAGAAAACGACAGCTCAATAACACTGTTACTTTATAATGTATTCATAATTACCAGGGCCAACAATAGTCTCACGATAAAAATTATGTTGCCATGCCCCACCCGCTGACGCCGACTGGCTTGTAGGTGAATGGGTAGCACCTTGTCATCCACATGGTGACTGCCCGGCTCACCCCCTTCACAATCTCACGAGCGCACAACAGAGTTTCATTCCCATAGTTTACCACGCACTTACTCCAGATTACTTTCTGACAACACTTATCTTTCCTGTCTTATGAACCAAAGGTATTTTATGTTTTCAGCCACTTCTATGTAAAATTCACATAAGTGATTCCTGGATTTCAAAGGTTTCTGGCAGCTGGACACTTGATAAGAGAGCTTTCTAACTGATGTCCACAGCCATATGATGGTGAGGTTAAATTAAAGACTTACACAAAATGGCCTTCTAGTTTTTCTTTCTTTCCTTCTTTCTGCTTGTGAGTGGACATGTGCGGCACTGCGCACGGATGCGCACAGGGAAAGCGAATTGTCAGCCGTTCACAGAAATACTCTTGACTATAGGCAGAGTGCAGAAAAAACGGGAAGAGAAAAGATAGATGCTTGACAGTTCCCCAGAAGTTATGTCTGAAAGAATGACGGGATTGACTAGAAAACCAGAAAGCAGGCTTCTCCAGGAGACAGGGCTCTCACCGTGCCTGGTCTCGCATGGGTACTCACCATGGCGGCGTCTTCCTGGGAGGCTGCTCCTGCCCTCCGGGGGCTGGCTGCCAGCGAAATCAAGGCACTGTGCCTAGGTCCCCGGCTCTGCTGCCGTGGAGGGCGGTGGCCACCCAGCCTTCTCAGCAAGCAGCTCTTCTCAGGAAGGAGCGTTTGGCCTGGAGAGAGAAGGGCATGCCTTATACAGGGGCACACAGACCGGTATGATTGCACATGCATTATTCACATATGTAAACAATTTCTATGGCTAAGTCTTATGTCTGAACATCTATAATGGCATGAGTTGTAAAGCTTTTTTTTCTGGAAAAAAATAAATAGCTACATCGGATTTAATTTACAAGTGCACACTATCTACTAAGGGTATAGCTAAAACACTGAAAGTCTCTTGGGTACAGAAAAATAGCAGAACCATTGGGGCCCTGGTTCTGATCTTCTGAGCATTGGATTTAATGGTCATAAAATAGCCAAGTTACAGGATTCAACTCCAATGCAAGCATGTCATGAGGTATAGCCAGCCTCTTCACTTGGTGACACTTTACAGGTCCTGGTAGTAACAAAGAGAAATTCCACTCCATGACAATAATTTTTAAGTAAATTGATAGATGATATTATGGCTTCCAGAAGATGCAGGGAGACAACACAACCATCCTGGGAAGCTCCTCCCCCACCCCAGTGTTTTCTCCCCAATTTATGGGCACTCCAACAGTCCTGGTGACTTGTGCCCCTCACTTCTCTGCCACTGTTCCTCATGTGCCCACGTCATTGGTGGCCGTGACTCTGATGGTGGCCACAGCCACAGAGATAGTGGCTGCGGTGTCCACAGTACTTGATAGTCCCCAAACAGACAGGATACAAAAACTCAGTTCTTAAAATGTCATAAAATAACAAATCTGGTGAATAGCAATTAACTATGCAGATGAGCTTTTGGTAATGACACTTAGCAAGCACTGTTTTCCCTGCTCATAATCGATTGTGTAAAACCCCTTACAAACCCTCTACTTACAGGAACAGTGCAATAGCCAACAGTGTTTGAAAACAAACACAATCTGAAACTCATTACTGAGTAAACTACAATTACATAGGGAAGGAATAGAGCCACATCCATCCATCCATCAAGGGCATGGACCTGCAGCTGGCTCTGATGGCCCAGCCTCAGACTCTGGGCTTTCCAAGGTCACTAGTAGGGGGTACAGTGTGGAACACTGTGTGGTCCCAGACTGTCTCTGACCACGGTGAAATTCTGAACTAGTTTAAGCAGGAAGGCTTACAGGAGATGTGGAACAAACTGAAATCAGGTTGAACGCTGTCCCAAGGGCTCTAACTTTTTATAGGGATCACAATGCCTTCTTTGGAAAAGAAGCCACGCAGATGGAATATGCTCTCTCCAGCCCAGGGTTTGGGTGGGGTAGTGTGTATGCCACTCAGAGGGGCTTCACACAAGGGGGCAGGCGAACTAGGAGACTGTGCCTCAGGACGGTCCTGAAGGTCTTAGAGTGCAGCCCTCAACCTGTGCTCAGAGAAGGACTAATTCAACGACAGATGTAACAGCAGTTTCTATGATATAGATATGTAGTATGCACACTATTATAGCCACACTACTATAAACTCACTGTGTTGTGAGAGTAAGTCATAGAGGGAACAATTATGGATAGACGGTAATATTATATATATCATATATTACATAGTAAATCATAATGTATGTGATATACGAGGACTGTCCAGAAGGTATCTATCTAGTCATGTAATATGAAAAATAGAGACGTTTACTGAAGAAGATACAAGATACAAGAAACGTGTATATAGGGACTTCCGCCAAGATGGAGGCATAGGTGGATGTGCCGTGCCTTCCCACACAACCAAGATTAGAGAAAACTAAATATTAGCAATAGAAAACACAGCCAGAACACGGAAAATTGAACTTTTCGGAAGTCCGTTAACAACAAATTCTTCAGCCTGACCGGTAAGGGGCGAAACCAGCGGCTGGCGGAGCGGGGTTGCACAGGAAAACTCGGCCAGACACACTCAGGCCCGCGGAATCCAGGCGCAGGGTCAGACCTAGTGAGCGACCCAGCGAGCGACCAGGAGAGCGACCGCGGGGGAGACAGCCGGGCCTGGGGATGCGTGTTGACTGAGGTTGCGCATTTGTGCGCGGGTGGACAGGCGAGGGAGTGGGCGGTTGGACTGGGCCGGCAGGTCCCCACGGCAAGCGGCAGTGGAGGGCGCCGCCATTTCCCAGCTCTGACCCCACCTCCACATACAGCGTCATAACCCAGCGACTCAGAGTAGCCCGGCTCAGGTGAACCACCTAAGGCACGGCTCCTCCGCACCCAGCTGTGAGAAGCGGCAGAGGGGGTCGCCATTTCCCCGCTCTGGACACGCCCCCACATACAGCGTCACAACCCAGCGACCTGGGAGTCCAAGGCACCACTTCTCACACTTAAAGGGCCCAAACAGACCAAGAATGGCGCGGGAGGATCTCAGAGCCCCAGAGCCAATAGATCTAAGCGATGAAGAAATAGCAAAACTCACAGACGCACAGTTTAAAACATTGGTGATCAGGATCCTCACAGAACTGGTTGATTATACCGACAAATTAGACAAATATATGAAGGCGAAACTAATTGAAATGAATGGAATTGCACAGGACACCAATAGCAATGAAAAGGAAACTAGGACTCAAATCCATGGAGTGGACCAGAAGAAAGCAAATAATGGCCAAACAGAAAAGAGTCAAGAAGCAAGAATTCAAAGAAATGAGGAGAGTCTTAGGAACCTCCAGGACATCTTTAAACGCTCCAACATCTGAATTATAGGGGTACCAGAATGGGGAAAGGCACAGCCACCAGTGGAAAACTTATTTGAACAAATAATAAAGGAGAATTTCCCCAATCTGGCAAAGGAAATAGACTTCCAGGAAATCCAGGAAGCTCAGAGAGTTCCAAAGAAGTTGGACCCAAGAAGGTACACACCAAGGCACATCATCATTACATTAGCCAAGATTAAAATGAAGGAGAGAATCCTAGAAGCAGCAAGAGCTAAGGCGACAGTCACCTACAAAGGAGTCCCCATCAGACTGTCAGCGGATTTCTCAAAAGAGACCTTACAGGCAAGAAGGGGCTGGAAAGAGGTATTCCAAGTCATGAAATCTAAAGACCTACAACCAAGATTGCTCTATCCAGCAAAACTTTCATTTAAAATGGAAGGACAGATAAAGTGCTTCTCAGATAAGATCAAATTCAAGGAGTTCATCATCACCAAGCCCTTATTATATGAAATGTTAAAGGGACTTATCTAAGAAAAAGAAGTTAAAGAAACATGAACAGTGAAAGGACAACAAACTCACAGTTATTAACAAGCACACCTAAAACGAAAGCAAACTAAAAGGACAGCTAGATTAGGAGTGGAAACATAGAAATGAAGATCTCAAGGAGGGTTAGCAACAGGGGAGTGGGGGGGGGGAGAAGGTACAGAAAATAAGTAGCATAGACAGTAGATAGAAAATAGATGGGGGGGGGGCAAGAATAGCATGGGAAATATAGAATCTAAAGGACTTGAGACACATGGTCATAAACTAAAGGGGGGGTAATGGTGGGAATGAGGGGTAGGGTGGAGGGGAACAAAGGGGGAATAGAACAACTGTAACAGCATAATCAATTAAAAAAAAAAAGAAACAGTGTATATAGGACAGTGGCACCTCAGTCCCCTTTAAAATAGGGGCCTCTCACAGTTCTCCCAGTCCCAATCAGCTAACTAATCATATTTTCCTGAGTCTCATCAATAGTGTAAAATATTTTCCCTTTCAAAGGTGATTTTAGTTTAGGGAAAAGCCAGAAGTCACAAGATGCCAAATCTGAGCTGTAGTGGGGCTGAGTCACCTGGGTGATTTGACGTTTCACCGAAATCTCTACATAAGACGTGATGCATGAGCAGGCATGTTGTTGTGATGAAGCTGCCAATCACCAGGTGCCCATAGCCGTAGCCCTTCTGAATCATCTGAATAGTTTCCGCAGAGGAATGTTCAAGCTTAACACAAAATTGGACGCAGATTGATTGCTCTATTTGCTCAGTCATTTCGAATGCAATGCCCATGCAGTACACATGCTCCCTCAGTGGCATCTACCACCCCCACTGACTAGTACAGTGAAGTCCTCATTGTTCACGCATGCGCATTCCAGCCCACTCTCCTTGGCTGCCAGGTAACGTAGTTGTGCAAAGCGTTCTCGTTACGTTAACCATGTTGGACTTTTTCTGGACAGACCTCGTATGATGCTGGAGCTTGTTTTAGAGAACACATTCCATTGCATTGTTCATTTTCCCGGGCAGCTGCGGGTGGGAGCATGCGCAGAGCACTGGCACAGAGCACCGCACTGTGCTTCAGGTCCGGAGCCCGGTGCATTCCTGGGAAGAATCCTGCCAATGGGGAGAGTGTGCCAGCGAGACATTTGAGATTTCACGTTATCCTCTCAGAATCTGGATGCGTGGCCTGCATGTTACAAAGATTATAGCTAAATAAATGACTCTGATACTCAACCTCATAGAAATGGACAGATTTAGCTTTTGAGATAATGTTAATTTCACTGTGGTATTAGTAATCTCATCAACTTTTTGGTTAGGGATGGATAAATAACTTGCTCTTAGTATGTAAATTACCAACAAAAACGTTTTGCAGAAAATGAGTCAGGTTAGAGATGTAAATGAGGCCTAAAATGTCTCATTAGGTTCTGAATTGCTTTTTTTTTTTCCCTAAGCATTATAAATCTTGCAAGCTTTTGGGATAATTTTCTTGCTTGAATAAGCTAGTAAGGTCTTTTTCAATAATAAATTAACTAAAATACTTCCCCAAACTAATTCTGCTTGAAAGAAAATAGAGCAAATTGAATATTAACGTGTAATTTATTTTAAAGTTACTCAGTACCTTTTTCCTAACATGTTTAGGTTGTCAGTGGTACAGACCACACATACCTGTTTCACAAAGGACAGAGCAGTTGGGCATGAAGAGGTATCATCCCGTGGGGCTCATTTAGAATCAGCTGTGTATTTGAAGGGTACCTATCAGGTCCGGGCTGAATCGTTAATCACAGACTATGTCTGTCTATCTTCTGTGAAGGAATGTCTTTAACTCAACAAAAGTCTCTCTGGTTCCTCTTCTGATGATTCC